GATTGGTTTCTCTAGGTCGCTTTGGTTATGATAATTTAACTTTGCTCGTGTATATTGTACATTTGAATGTAAAGACTGCCAGATAAGATAGTTCTTCCGTACGTCTAAATGAAACATCCAAACCCTAGTTTAAATTTTTTTCTGTAATTGGAAACTAAGCTAAAAATTGACCTTCACTCGTGACTTTCAAGGTTAGATACATGAGTTCTTTCCCCGGCATGAAGCTGACATTGACTATTCTTTAACCTCAAAACGCTGCGCAGGACTTAATTACATGCAGTTATCAGTATGTTTCTTATGCACCCAATGTTTGTTGAAAGGAAACGCGTTCTGAGTCAACTGTTTATGCCTTTCATTTCGATTTTCATAGTTGGTCCCACTGTGTTGGGCACTGTCCCCATTCCTTGATCCAACAATCTACCATCAAAGCGAGAAAATCCGTGTGCAGGCTTGTGAAATCTGAGACATGTACAAATGCGTAGGCCTTTATTTCACTTAAGATTCCAAAGCCACTTTATATATATATATATATATATATATATATGCATCACATCAAGCTAGGTTCTATTTTCTGCCCTAATAAAAGATTTGAAGGCAATTTTAGGGAGAAATGTTACATTTCCCCTAAATTTCTGCATTAAGTTGTTCCAGTTTTTCTGTTTGGGTCTTTAGTCGGCAGGGTTATTCGCAGAAGTGAAAGCCCGAAAGCAAACATCTTGTGTGTTCAACCGGCCTGATGAATATCCTGGTCTATTTAGAGGAGCTGGGAGACCTTGACTCCAAACATATGGTGTATATAGGCTCCAGGATCTAAAAGGTTGGATTGGCCTCATTCGATCACACGCAATCATGAGGACGTAGTTTCTAACTCTACTCGACTGTCTTGAGTATCAGACTTCAAGGCAAGCGCTCGGGAAGTGTCCCCATATGAAAACCACCTGCTTCAGTCTGGGTGTCCGGGCAGTTTCTCAGCCAGCACACACAAATTTTATGTGGCGCATCTCTTTTGTTGCTCATCATGTACTAGGCTCGTTTTAATGGGAAAAATAAATGATGCGTATCCACATGAGGACCACTACTCAAGTGTGTATAGCCAAAAGTTATCACTTTCTATCGACATATTTCAGGTTTCTGAGTGTTTGCTCTTTTCCAAACCTTGCATTCCTGCAAGGAAATCTGTGGCTATACATTTACGTTGTCCTTATAAACACTGTGGGTCCTGGGTTCAAATCCCGCTCCACCTACTTCAGTCTGGACAGCTAGGTAGTATCATCAACACTCAATGCGTGGCTTATTGCCTGAAACATAAAAAATCTGTTCCGAGCACTGACTTCAAACTAAATAAATATACACTTCAGATATGATCTTAGTAATACATTGGAATGAAGACTATTGATTCCCACTAAGGATGAAACGACTACTACTTATGCACTCTTTCGTGTATTCAAAAAGACAATAAATTGTTTCCAACAAAATCTGTTTTCAGTGTATCCATTGCAGTGCTTAAAAACAATAACTGATAAACCTCCTCCTTGTAGAATATGAGAAGCCAGCCTGTAACGCTGCTGCATCTGGTAACAGTCGGAAGCTGTTCCAACTCATTCTAACCACTGTCAGCAAGAATTAGGTTGTCAGTGAGACATTCTGTAAGGCAGTTTGCACGCCAATTACCAGTCTGAAAAACCGCCTGGACAGAGCACTTCGAGAAGCATTTCAGTCGGCCTCCCGTGTTCACCGTCATCAGCTACAGTAATCCTTGGTCGGTCAGTACCGACCCACCAATCGAAGCGGAGATCAGAAAGGAATCCCGGTTCTTTTTAAAGATGGCGAGATTCTCACTATGGCTTTGACTGGTTTGTTCGGGAAAGTTTTGGAAATTGAGGATGTGCCATCAGTGTGGAATAGAGCCATCATCGTCTCCATCTTTAAAAAGGGTCGACATAACACATGCGACAACCGTAGAAGTATCAGTTTGCTACCCATCGCATCTAAAATAATGGTAGCTGTCTTGCTTCACAGGCTGTGCCAAACACGCCAGAAGTCGATTCGCGAACAGTAGGCTGGGTTTCGTTCAGGCTGTGGTTGCATTGATTATGTGTTCACCCTTCGTCAATTGTTGGAACACCGCCATATGTATTGCAGGCCAACAATCGTAGTGCTTCTTGATATGAGGGCTGCTTTCGATTCATTGGACAGAACTGTGCTCTGGAACTGTCTGTTAGAAAGGGGTGTGCCTGAGAAATTTTTTGACATCCTGAAAGCCCTATAGAAAAATACCTCAGGTAGAGTGAGGGTATACAACCAGCTATCATCACTGTTCCCAACCAATAGTATGGTTAGACTGGGTCTCCCAGTCTCCCCATTTCTCCTCAACTTTGCCATAGATGACACTGGAGTCAGCTCTGAAGCACGTGCGTGGTGGCGCTGTAGACTGCTTCCTGGGGAAAGGCTTTCAGACCTCGAGTATACAGACGTATCATCTTGCTGTGAGATAGCATGCATGCACTTAGTCAGTAAATGATCAGTGTCTGTAAGTATGGTATGTACTTGGCACTGTCTAAATGCAAAGTACTCTTAAAAGATTGGCAGGAGCCTGTACCTGCACTCACTCTTGCGGGTGAACTACTTGAAATTGCCAACAAGTTTGTGTATCTAGGTAATTGTGGGAGTGCTGGTGGAGGGGTGACGGACGAGATTTCCAACCGTATCATGAAATCTAGGGTAGTATATGTCAACTCGAGCCACCTCTGGAGCAGTCGCAACTGTCAAAGGTCGGGTTTTAAATGCTTCAATCCGCGCTGTTTCGCTCTACGCCTGCGACATCTGGCTTGTTCGAGGTGAGGATGTACGGCGACTCGGCGTATTCGATCATTGCTGTCTCCGTAGAATTGCTTGAGTTCGATGGCATCATCGTGTGAGTAATTCGGAGGTCCGACGTGGCACCGTGGGATGAAAGATATTGGTGGGTGCATCACCACTCCCTGGATAAGGTCCGAAAGAGAGCTTCAGTCGGTGGCTCAAAACGTCATCGGATATGACCAAGAATCACAATCAATGGCAAACGTGCTACAATTTACATCTCTTTTCTCCTCCTGAATATAATTCGATGAATGCTACTTGATCGTGTGAAATATAACTACCTTCTTCCTTTATTCATTCCCTACCTATTTTTATATGTTGTTTTATTATTATTGTACGGCTCATCTTCTTGGTGCCATATTATACCAGGTTTTGTGTTTTAAATAAAATAACGCTGCTCTGCAATGTTTTAAATTATTAATTAATTTATCTGCTAATTAAGCATTCCAAATATTTATTTTATTAATAAAATGCGGCAGAGTTGGTATTCTGTACTGGAGTAAGAGTTTAGTGTTGACTGCATATTTCAATCCGATTTCCGACTAAGATCGAATCGCGTCCCACCTATTTCAACCTGCGTGTCATCACTGCTCACACCTTATTTTTAGGAAGTTAAGTGGAGTGACATCCATACCATAGGAAAGAAAGTTGGTTGCATTATGCCACATATATAACTCACATCTGTGAAATAGTATTCGGGGTGGATTTGAACATGAGTTGCTTGACATCAGATTAGCAAGTAATTGTGCTCGTTAACCACTTACTTGGGAAACATCATCGCCGACAAAACTTCGATGTAGGTACATGAGGCTCGAACAAAACTAACCATTATGTGCCACCGATAACACCAGTGCTTTATAGTTGAGCGTTTAGTGCAGAAGCGCACTCCATTAAATACAATCAATGAAAGCAAATGATTCGAAAATATTCCAGTTCCTTTTCTATCGTTGGGTTTGGTTGGCGTGTAATGTAGTGGTTAGATATAATTCCACCAACTGTGATTATTGTCTGGCACACTAATCGATCTGCAGTCCATCTCCGTATACAGTGTTGGCTAAAGTAAAGTGATCAATACTTAGTAATCTTTCTCAGATTGTAGAATAGAAGGCTAAGAAGTGTTTTGTACATTAACTTTTGTGTAACATTGAGAGTTATCTATGAGTACTAAGAACTGGCAATTTACCTGAAGACTAGTGAGTATTTCTGTTTATTTTCTAGCAATAAGTTCCAAACACTCTACTACGTATGTTTTTGTGATATCCCCCTCAACGCTGTATAATTTTATACCCTTTGTTTCTTGAGTCATATCCTATGCTGTCACGAAAAGTGACAGCCTAACATATTACGTTTTTTGTTCGACGTTTTCTTTCATTTGCAAAATTTCTTTACAGATGAATCTTTTCAGAACAGTATTTACAAAACCAAAAATTAGCGGTTTGATGAACAGTTTATGCGGTGGAATGAGACTACTAACCATCCCTCCTGCGATTCCATCAAAAATATTATACGAACGACAAATAACACCTGATAAAACTCCCGCTCATCATAATAACACTCAAATTGAAGAGCTGTTAAAAAAACAACTGTGTGACTACCCTCCATATTGTTCTCGGAAAAGTAATTAACATTACTTTATATATTCGTTACACAGTTCGTCATGGCTTTCAGAATGCCATAATGATTCGCGATTACAAACGAAGACAAGTCGCTGCACACTTCTGTGATTTACGAATCAGACTAAATGCAATCAGGAAAAACAGAATACTACCTCAGGAAATTCAAGTTAGTGGATAATTTTTAATCATCTTTTGTTCCTAGGACGAAGCCACTCTTTACATGTCTTCTTTACCTCGTGATAGCAATTGGACACGCATTTTAAGCAGATGTGTCGTCACTTCAAGGAGACGAGGATGCAAAACCCGTTGGAAGTTGTCGCGCATTATATGGCGAAAAATCGCTGACTACAACAAAATGTCTGGAGCGCAATGGGCTTGCTGGGGATCAAACACGCATAGCGTCAGAAGACATATGTCATGGCCGCCTCCTAAAGGAATCACAGTTGCAGAGTATATTCGCAGATATTATAAGAATTTAGCTGATGAATCCAACAGTTATGTAAGCAAATAAGTGCGATCAAATATACCACTTCAAATACAATTTAGTTTATTTCTCATAAAATTTATTACATTAAGTTGAATCTATCATAAACTGACCAAACAGTAAGCATCTACACCAGTTTCAGTCTACAGTACACAAAGGTAGTTGGAAAAATGTTGTGATAAGAAGCAGTCTCTGTAAGTGGAAAAATTATCAATTTATTTCAGCGACTTTCTTGTGCGTAGCGAGTACCGGTTACGTCCTACTGTTGGCTAAAACGCTCATCAAATATAAACAGACGACTTACCGTACGTGAAGTATTGTGAACACTTCTCCGTTTATCCGAAACAGCATTCTTCCCACATACATTTTCCTTTCCGCTACCAACATCCCAGAAGTTTCCAAAGCGATTCCGTTCAAACCTATATCCACCACTGGAACCATTGCTACTGCATCACAAACCATATTCCTCTCGCGCTGATTCGCCGTAGTGGGGCTACTGATATTGGAACCGATTTCACCTTCTGAACAGACAAAAATCATAATTAGTGGAAAGGTGTACTCACTGTCAGGAATAGGTGTTGCACTTTTACGCTTTCTTGGGGTATTCCGACTTTGTGTTTCATCTCCTCTCGTCGGTGTGGTTGACACCACTGGTTTCCCATCCAGCGAACTTCCACTCCCTCCTATCAGCCCTGTTTACAATTACTATTATTCCTAGCTTCAACACTTACCGTCTAGGCTTATGTACGCAAGTGAATCTGTCTGGTCCATATTCCTCTCACGCTGATTCGCCGTAGTGGGGCTACTGATATTGGAACCGATTTCACCTTCTGAACAGACAAAAATCATAATTAGTGGAAAGGTGTACTCACTGTCAGGAATAGGTGTTGCACTTTTACGCTTTCTCCGGAATTATTCCGGAGGTGTTTAAATATGGGGGTGACATACTAGTTTGTAGATTAACTGAGGTACTAGGCAAAGTCTGGGAATCAGAGACAGTGCCATCAGACTGGGGTAAGTCACTTATTATACCGATATTCAAGAAGGGAAACAAGTCCTCGTGTGATAATCATAGGGGGATCAGCCTAACGAACATAGTCTCTAAAATCCTAGGCTCAGTAATCATGCATAGACTAAGCAGAACTCGGGAGGAACAGACAAGGGAAAATCAAGCAGGCTTTAGACCAGGTAGAGGGTGCATAGATCATATCTTCACTCTTCGACAGATTCTAGAACATAGACACACTTTTCGGCGTCCAACAATTGTCATATTTCTTGACTTGAAGGCGGCCTTCGACTCCGTGGATCGAAAGGTACTATGGCAATGTCTGACTGTGAAGGGAGTGCCAAGAAAGTACATTGCACTAATCAAGGCACTCTATTCAAACTCACGTAGTCGTGTAAGGGCTTATGGGGAATTGTCATCTGAATTGGTAACAACCAGTGGTGTCCGACAGGGATGTCCACTTTCCCCATTTCTGTTTAACTTCATCATAGATATGCTGATGGAAGTATCCTTAACTGAACGTAATGACTTAGGAATCGACTTGTTACCAGGGAATAGTCTTATGGACTTAGAATATGCAGATGACATAGTCCTGTTAGGGGAGGATGCTGACAAAATGCAGAGTCTTCTGAACACCTTGAGCAGCAATCTTCGTATGTTTGGCATGCGATTCGCCCAAACAAAATGTAAGATGCTGCTACAGGACTGGACCACATCAACTTAGTGATAGGGAGTGAAGTGATAGAACATGTTGACCACTTCACCTATTTGGGAAGTTGTATTAGCACCAACGGACTGATTGGCGATGAAATCTCAGCACGGATCCGAAAAGCTCGAGCTGCTTTCGCTGACTTACACCATCTCTGGCGTAGGCGTGACATCCGGTTATCAACCAAGGGACGTGTGTACTGCTCATCAGTTCGCTCCGTCCTTCTCTATGGCTCTGAAACATGGCCAATACGCGTTGAAGACATGAAAAGGTTGACTGCTTTCGATCATAGATGTCTGCGATCTCTGTCTCACGTTAGGTGGTTTCACAAGGTAAGTAATGTTGACGTTAGGCGTAGAGTGTTGGGCAAAGAGGGAAAATCAATCGACGAGGCTATAAAGTTACATAGACTGAGATGGCTAGGTCACGTGCTGCGCATGCCTAACCACCGCCTCCCCCGACGGGCATTGTTAGCTGATATAGGTGCAGGTTGGAAAAGAGCCAGTGGTGGCCAAACAAAAACATGGCATCAATCCATGAAATCCTTGACAGTTAAACTGAGTCAGGTAGGGAGGGAGATGCAGACTCCCGGGTTGGGGCCCTCGGGACTCTAGGAATCAATGGCTGGAGACAATAGGTGACATGGCTCAAAATCGTTGTCAATGGCCAGCGCAGATGTATTCAGTCTCTGTAATCTTTCATATTCCTTTCTACCATTACCCATTCTGTTTCACTCTTATACTTGTCAAACTCTATTGATTCTCTTCACTCATCTTCTTGTCTACCTCTGTGTGCTACTTAGAACGTGGTAACTCGAAATGATGCACTTCGTTCCCAATTTCCATGTTGAATCCAGACAGACAGACAGCGACAACACTTACCGTCTAGGCGTATGTACGCAAGTGAATCTGTCTGGTCCATATTCCTCTCACGCTGATTCGCCGTAGTGGGGCTACTGATATTGGAACCGATTTCACCTTCTGAACAGACAAAAATCATAATTAGTGGAAAGGTGTACTCACTGTCAGGAATAGGTGTTGCACTTCTACGCTTTCTTGGGATATTCCGAATTTGTGTTTCATCTCCTCTCGTCGGTGTGGTTGACACCACTGGTTTCCCATCCAGCGAACTTCCACTCCCTCCTATCAGCCCTGTTTACAATTACTATTATTCCTAGCTACAACACTTACCGTCTAGGCTTATGTACGCAAGTGAATCTGTCTGGTCCATATTCCTCTCACGCTGATTCGCCGTAGTGGGGCTACTGATATTGGAACCGATTTCACCTTCTGAACAGACAAAAATCATAATTAGTGGAAAGGTGTACTCACTGTCAGGAATAGGTGTTGCGCTTTTACGCTTTCTTGGGGTATTCCGACTTTGTGTTTCATCTCCTCTCGTCGGTGTGGTTGACACCACTGGTTTCCCATCCAGCGAACTTCCACTCCCTCCTATCAGCCCTGTTTACAATTACTATTATTCCTAGCTACAACACTTACCGTCTAGGCTTATGTACGCAAGTGAATCTGTCTGGTCCATATTCCTCTCACGCTGATTCGCCGTAGTGGGGCTACTGATATTGGAACCGATTTCACCTTCTGAACAGACAAAAATCATAATTAGTGGAAAGGTGTACTCACTGTCAGGAATAGGTGTTGCGCTTTTACGCTTTCTTGGGGTATTCCGACTTTGTGTTTCATCTCCTCTCGTCGGTGTGGTTGACACCACTGGTTTCCCATCCAGCGAACTTCCACTCCCTCCTATCAGCCCTGTTTACAATTACTATTATTCCTAGCTACAACACTTACCGTCTAGGCTTATGTACGCAAGTGAATCTGTCTGGTCCATATTCCTCTCACGCTGATTCGCCGTAGTGGGGCTACTGATATTGGAACCGATTTCACCTTCTGAACAGACAAAAATCATAATTAGTGGAAAGGTGTACTCACTGTCAGGAATAGGTGTTGCGCTTTTACGCTTTCTTGGGGTATTCCGACTTTGTGTTTCATCTCCTCTCGTCGGTGTGGTTGACACCACTGGTTTCCCATCCAGCGAACTTCCACTCCCTCCTATCAGCCCTGTTTACAATTACTATTATTCCTAGCTACAACACTTACCGTCTAGGCTTATGTACGCAAGTGAATCTGTCTGGTCCATATTCCTCTCACGCTGATTCGCCGTAGTGGGGCTACTGATATTGGAACCGATTTCACCTTCTGAACAGACAAAAATCATAATTAGTGGAAAGGTGTACTCACTGTCAGGAATAGGTGTTGCGCTTTTACGCTTTCTTGGGGTATTCCGACTTTGTGTTTCATCTCCTCTCGTCGGTGTGGTTGACACCACTGGTTTCCCATCCAGCGAACTTCCACTCCCTCCTATCAGCCCTGTTTACAATTACTATTATTCCTAGCTACAACACTTACCGTCTAGGCTTATGTACGCAAGTGAATCTGTCTGGTCCATATTCCTCTCACGCTGATTCGCCGTAGTGGGGCTACTGATATTGGAACCGATTTCACCTTCTGAACAGACAAAAATCATAATTAGTGGAAAGGTGTACTCACTGTCAGGAATAGGTGTTGCACTTCTACGCTTTCTTGGGATATTCCGACTTTGTGTTTCATCTCCTCTCGTCGGTGTGGTTGACACCACTGGTTTCCCATCCAGCGAACTTCCACTCCCTCCTATCAGCCCTGTTTACAATTACTATTATTCCTAGCTACAACACTTACCGTCTAGGCTTATGTACGCAAGTGAATCTGTCTGGTCCATATTCCTCTCACGCTGATTCGCCGTAGTGGGGCTACTGATATTGGAACCGATTTCACCTTCTGAACAGACAAAAATCATAATTAGTGGAAAGGTGTACTCACTGTGAGGAATAGGTGTTGCGCTTTTACGCTTTCTTGGGGTATTCCGACTTTGTGTTTCATCTCCTCTCGTCGGTGTGGTTGACACCACTGGTTTCCCATCCAGCGAACTTCCACTCCCTCCTATCAGCCCTGTTTACAATTACTATTATTCCTAGCTACAACACTTACCGTCTAGGCTTATGTACGCAAGTGAATCTGTCTGGTCCATATTCCTCTCACGCTGATTCGCCGTAGTGGGGCTACTGATATTGGAACCGATTTCACCTTCTGAACAGACAAAAATCATAATTAGTGGAAAGGTGTACTCACTGTCAGGAATAGGTGTTGCACTTTTACGCTTTCTTGGGGTATTCCGACTTTGTGTTTCATCTCCTCTCGTCGGTGTGGTTGACACCACTGGTTTCCCATCCAGCGAACTTCCACTCCCTCCTATCAGCCCTGTTTACAATTACTATTATTCCTAGCTACAACACTTACCGTCTAGGCTTATGTACGCAAGTGAATCTGTCTGGTCCATATTCCTCTCACGCTGATTCGCCGTAGTGGGGCTACTGATATTGGAACCGATTTCACCTTCTGAACAGACAAAAATCATAATTAGTGGAAAGGTGTACTCACTGTCAGGAATAGGTGTTGCGCTTTTACGCTTTCTTGGGGTATTCCGACTTTGTGTTTCATCTCCTCTCGTCGGTGTGGTTGACACCACTGGTTTCCCATCCAGCGAACTTCCACTCCCTCCTATCAGCCCTGTTTACAATTACTATTATTCCTAGCTACAACACTTACCGTCTAGGCTTATGTACGCAAGTGAATCTGTCTGGTCCATATTCCTCTCACGCTGATTCGCCGTAGTGGGGCTACTGATATTGGAACCGATTTCACCTTCTGAACAGACAAAAATCATAATTAGTGGAAAGGTGTACTCACTGTCAGGAATAGGTGTTGCACTTCTACGCTTTCTTGGGGTATTCCGACTTTGTGTTTCATCTCCTCTCGTCGGTGTGGTTGACACCACTGGTTTCCCATCCAGCGAACTTCCACTCCCTCCTATCAGCCCTGTTTACAATTACTATTATTCCTAGCTACAACACTTACCGTCTAGGCTTATGTACGCAAGTGAATCTGTCTGGTCCATATTCCTCTCACGCTGATTCGCCGTAGTGGGGCTACTGATATTGGAACCGATTTCACCTTCTGAACAGACAAAAATCATAATTAGTGGAAAGGTGTACTCACTGTCAGGAATAGGTGTTGCGCTTTTACGCTTTCTTGGGGTATTCCGACTTTGTGTTTCATCTCCTCTCGTCGGTGTGGTTGACACCACTGGTTTCCCATCCAGCGAACTTCCACTCCCTCCTATCAGCCCTGTTTACAATTACTATTATTCCTAGCTACAACACTTACCGTCTAGGCTTATGTACGCAAGTGAATCTGTCTGGTCCATATTCCTCTCACGCTGATTCGCCGTAGTGGGGCTACTGATATTGGAACCGATTTCACCTTCTGAACAGACAAAAATCATAATTAGTGGAAAGGTGTACTCACTGTCAGGAATAGGTGTTGCGCTTTTACGCTTTCTTGGGGTATTCCGACTTTGTGTTTCATCTCCTCTCGTCGGTGTGGTTGACACCACTGGTTTCCCATCCAGCGAACTTCCACTCCCTCCTATCAGCCCTGTTTACAATTACTATTATTCCTAGCTACAACACTTACCGTCTAGGCTTATGTACGCAAGTGAATCTGTCTGGTCCATATTCCTCTCACGCTGATTCGCCGTAGTGGGGCTACTGATATTGGAACCGATTTCACCTTCTGAACAGACAAAAATCATAATTAGTGGAAAGGTGTACTCACTGTCAGGAATAGGTGTTGCGCTTTTACGCTTTCTTGGGGTATTCCGACTTTGTGTTTCATCTCCTCTCGTCGGTGTGGTTGACACCACTGGTTTCCCATCCAGCGAACTTCCACTCCCTCCTATCAGCCCTGTTTACAATTACTATTATTCCTAGCTACAACACTTACCGTCTAGGCTTATGTACGCAAGTGAATCTGTCTGGTCCATATTCCTCTCACGCTGATTCGCCGTAGTGGGGCTACTGATATTGGAACCGATTTCACCTTCTGAACAGACAAAAATCATAATTAGTGGAAAGGTGTACTCACTGTCAGGAATAGGTGTTGCACTTTTACGCTTTCTTGGGGTATTCCGACTTTGTGTTTCATCTCCTCTCGTCGGTGTGGTTGACACCACTGGTTTCCCATCCAGCGAACTTCCACTCCCTCCTATCAGCCCTGTTTACAATTACTATTATTCCTAGCTACAACACTTACCGTCTAGGCTTATGTACGCAAGTGAATCTGTCTGGTCCATATTCCTCTCACGCTGATTCGCCGTAGTGGGGCTACTGATATTGGAACCGATTTCACCTTCTGAACAGACAAAAATCATAATTAGTGGAAAGGTGTACTCACTGTCAGGAATAGGTGTTGCGCTTTTACGCTTTCTTGGGGTATTCCGACTTTGTGTTTCATCTCCTCTCGTCGGTGTGGTTGACACCACTGGTTTCCCATCCAGCGAACTTCCACTCCCTCCTATCAGCCCTGTTTACAATTACTATTATTCCTAGCTACAACACTTACCGTCTAGGCTTATGTACGCAAGTGAATCTGTCTGGTCCATATTCCTCTCACGCTGATTCGCCGTAGTGGGGCTACTGATATTGGAACCGATTTCACCTTCTGAACAGACAAAAATCATAATTAGTGGAAAGGTGTACTCACTGTCAGGAATAGGTGTTGCACTTTTACGCTTTCTTGGGGTATTCCGACTTTGTGTTTCATCTCCTCTCGTCGGTGTGGTTGACACCACTGGTTTCCCATCCAGCGAACTTCCACTCCCTCCTATCAGCCCTGTTTACAATTACTATTATTCCTAGCTACAACACTTACCGTCTAGGCTTATGTACGCAAGTGAATCTGTCTGGTCCATATTCCTCTCACGCTGATTCGCCGTAGTGGGGCTACTGATATTGGAACCGATTTCACCTTCTGAACAGACAAAAATCATAATTAGTGGAAAGGTGTACTCACTGTCAGGAATAGGTGTTGCGCTTTTACGCTTTCTTGGGGTATTCCGACTTTGTGTTTCATCTCCTCTCGTCGGTGTGGTTGACACCACTGGTTTCCCATCCAGCGAACTTCCACTCCCTCCTATCAGCCCTGTTTACAATTACTATTATTCCTAGCTACAACACTTACCGTCTAGGCTTATGTACGCAAGTGAATCTGTCTGGTCCATATTCCTCTCACGCTGATTCGCCGTAGTGGGGCTACTGATATTGGAACCGATTTCACCTTCTGAACAGACAAAAATCATAATTAGTGGAAAGGTGTACTCACTGTCAGGAATAGGTGTTGCACTTTTACGCTTTCTTGGGGTATTCCGACTTTGTGTTTCATCTCCTCTCGTCGGTGTGGTTGACACCACTGGTTTCCCATCCAGCGAACTTCCACTCCCTCCTATCAGCCCTGTTTACAATTACTATTATTCCTAGCTACAACACTTACCGTCTAGGCTTATGTACGCAAGTGAATCTGTCTGGTCCATATTCCTCTCACGCTGATTCGCCGTAGTGGGGCTACTGATATTGGAACCGATTTCACCTTCTGAACAGACAAAAATCATAATTAGTGGAAAGGTGTACTCACTGTCAGGAATAGGTGTTGCGCTTTTACGCTTTCTTGGGGTATTCCGACTTTGTGTTTCATCTCCTCTCGTCGGTGTGGTTGACACCACTGGTTTCCCATCCAGCGAACTTCCACTCCCTCCTATCAGCCCTGTTTACAATTACTATTATTCCTAGCTACAACACTTACCGTCTAGGCTTATGTACGCAAGTGAATCTGTCTGGTCCATATTCCTCTCACGCTGATTCGCCGTAGTGGGGCTACTGATATTGGAACCGATTTCACCTTCTGAACAGACAAAAATCATAATTAGTGGAAAGGTGTACTCACTGTCAGGAATAGGTGTTGCGCTTTTACGCTTTCTTGGGGTATTCCGACTTTGTGTTTCATCTCCTCTCGTCGGTGTGGTTGACACCACTGGTTTCCCATCCAGCGAACTTCCACTCCCTCCTATCAGCCCTGTTTACAATTACTATTATTCCTAGCTACAACACTTACCGTCTAGGCTTATGTACGCAAGTGAATCTGTCTGGTCCATATTCCTCTCACGCTGATTCGCCGTAGTGGGGCTACTGATATTGGAACCGATTTCACCTTCTGAACAGACAAAAATCATAATTAGTGGAAAGGTGTACTCACTGTCAGGAATAGGTGTTGCGCTTTTACGCTTTCTTGGGGTATTCCGACTTTGTGTTTCATCTCCTCTCGTCGGTGTGGTTGACACCACTGGTTTCCCATCCAGCGAACTTCCACTCCCTCCTATCAGCCCTGTTTACAATTACTATTATTCCTAGCTACAACACTTACCGTCTAGGCTTATGTACGCAAGTGAATCTGTCTGGTCCATATTCCTCTCACGCTGATTCGCCGTAGTGGGGCTACTGATATTGGAACCGATTTCACCTTCTGAACAGACAAAAATCATAATTAGTGGAAAGGTGTACTCACTGTCAGGAATAGGTGTTGCACTTTTACGCTTTCTTGGTGTGTCCGGACTACCCATTGGACTTATGGTGTTATTGATTTTCGTTGGTATATTTGCTTCCAGTGGTGTGTCGTCTTCGCCTTTGTTGTCGCCACTATCTTCCATGACGGAGGGGGAATCGTCAAGCCGTAGAAATTCTGGTACCTCTAAGTGTGGTTTGATTACTATTAATATTCGCTCACCATTTATGGTTTCAACGTTAGTGTTGCCCGTTAGTTTTCTTCTTTTGGTATTTAGTTCAGGCGAATCTTAACAGGAAAGCGTAAGGTTCTTTTTTGGGAATTGGACAATTCATACCTGTTGGTAACTCCCTTTTAGAGTTAGTGTGAATCTCATAAATTTCCTCCTCTGCCAACTCGTGATTGATTATTGATTCAATATCTACATCTGGAGTATTCATGTTTTCAAAGGCTCGATTTCCCTCTATAATCAATTTTTTGTATATCATTAAAACACTAATATTTATACTAACTTTTACATTTGGCTGAATAAACACCATCGTGAGCTGACAACCGATGTTTAGCCTTTAACTTTCGCTTTTCTTTCTGTTTATGTCGTTGTATTTTCACCTGATTACCAGCATTCTGTTCATTACATTAACTCATTGAATGAAAAGTAAAGGATTCTTACATCATTATTTTTTCCCTCTACATCATCATCAGAACACGGATTTAGTAATTTTGCTAAAGTAGATAAATCGAAAGCATTTAGTAGCATTTGAATTTTTTCATTTGTTGTGCATGTTTTCCAATAGGCTAATTTGATTTTAGTGGGTATCCTTTTGCGCATCCAGCGGAAAATAGAATCTGCATCTAAATATTTACGTGAAAGTTGCTTTATTTCTTTATATTCATGTAGATGAAGACTTACTTCTTGTGTCGGCTTCACAATATGGGGGAAGTTAAGATCCAACCATTTATAAAGCATCAGAATTCTGATAGTATTTACATAACTTTTAAAAATTGTTTTATCCATAGAAAATATCCTCCTAGAAAAATCATATAAGATTAACTGCCTACTTGGTTACTGCAGCTGCAAAGTCAGGGGTAGAAACAGCAGTGTTCATTTGCAGAAGAACATCGATCAAATATATGCTTTCCCCTGAAAGTGTGAACTCAACCAGTAAAATATCTTTTAAGCCAAGTCTGGAACTGTTGTCAAGCACTTTCTTCGAATCCAAAAATGAAGCCAAAAGAGAAGTCCATATCATGCGGTCATTGCTTTTACATAACTAGAAACATTTGTATATCTTAGTAAAAAAAATTTCTTACGGAACAACCGAGAAAGGAGTGAGAATAATAAATAGATAGGACTTTCTCCAGGCAATCATTGATCATTCTAAGTATAAATCAGATAAGGAACTTTTAGTTACTTGGCATTGTTTGCGTCGATACGGATACGACTCCATCTAAGAAAATTAAAAAAGACCAATTAGTGATTCTCACACGAGAGCTAACATGTTACTAAACATATATGAGTGACTAAATCATATAAAAATAAGTAGCTAGTCTGTAGTAGAGTAAATCAGCAACTGAAGACACTTATGTAATATGAATGATGAGTTTCATTTTTCGTTTCACAGGTTGAATGAAATAAATGCGGTGAGCTATGGATCGTCTGAAGATAGATTCCTAAAGCTCAAGACGTTGTAAAACAAATAACTTTTTTGAAAATATATTCATTCTAAAATGAAAGATATACACCAGTACACGACGATGTAGTGTACTTCCGTTTCAATCCAAGTTATCAGGTATCAGATATATATGAAATAAAAATAGGATCACGACATTTGTTTCAATAACAGTATGCACATTCTAAGTTAATTATCAACACAGTTAGTCTCCGTGAATTGAAGAACAAATCTGACTCCCTTATAAGTGCCCTTGACTATTGGAAATAAAAATTAGGAGTGGAAACACCAATCGATGTAACAAACCAAGTAAATAATCAACCGGGAATCCATACATAGCCCTAAATACCTGGCTAAAAATCTTCCAGTAAAGGAACTGACTTCTATCCTCGCTTTTCTGACCGTCAAATACCGCCATTAAGTCCACAATTACGGCTGTTGTTGCAAACTATTAAATGTCATTGTATTCTACAGATCTACGTGAACTGAAGATTACACCAGTATATTGGAAGTTTTACCTATAAAAATGTCTACCTTATGAACAGCTGGTTTCTCAGGAATTGAAAGCCGACCATAGCTTATATAACAATTGGTTTTTTTTATTTCTTTCACGTACCCAGTGGAACATAGTGCTTCAAGTTGGAGGCTTGAAGTTTCTGTAGCAGTGGTGTTTATTTTTACAGGATAGGATTGCTAGCCTCATGCCCAACCTTCCCTCTTAACCAATCTTATTACTGGGTAGGTGAGGTAAAGGAGTGCGGCGGCCGGGGACAGAACCCCGGACTATGTGCATGGTCGGCGAGCATGCTGACCTCTGTGCCACCGACTCACACAACTTCGGTGATCGGACTAGAACCGGTGCTTTCAACGTCGTATGGTCGCCGGTTACCGTATAAGAAACTCAAACCTTTTAAAAAAGTATTCATCGTTACTGAAGGCAAAAGATAATCATGCGCTACTTCTAATGCCGAAACCTTATTTTGTACATATAAAACCTAGCATTTAATTCTGCAATAGTCTGTTTTTGATAAAAATCACAGTGAAACGGTATTCAAATTCATCAAGGGGAATAAATGCATGAAATGGTATTATTTACTCGCTGAAATTCCATTCAATTCGCCGTTCACAGTGACATCATATGTGAATTTGCAGTTTTAAAGCTTGTATCTCATTTTGTATAATAAAATAAACAAAGATAAAAAAATACTTAGTAAATTATACTAAGCTAAGAAGTCAAGAAAATTCTCAGCTACCGTGGAGAAGTGCGAAGACGGTTGTTAACTGAATACATACACATTCCAGACATCTGAAAAAATCTACTGCCATCAAGACGAGTTAAAATTCAAACTGGTACTGTATAAGCCAAGTTTTAAAACCGTGGAGTTATATTTTATATGGTTATGAACGATAAACTGTGTTCAAAACATGATCGATTAAGTAACTGTTTGACCGTTATCGACATAATTAACAGACGAATATAAAATTAATCCAATTAATTGAATATAAACCCTGGACTGCTAGTCTTCAAGATCTGGAAGTAGGTCGTTATGGCCTTACGTTTCTACTTCAGATTATATGCAATCCTTGAAGAGACATCGGCTAGACTAAAGGACTATCTAAGAGGAAAGTTAAGAAACTTGAAACATTAACTAATGATGTCTTTTGCTGAGTAGTTAAATAAAATTAGCCTATGGAAGACGACAAAATCAATATTTGAAGCAGGACAAGGAGAAAATTTGTGTGTATCAGCACTGTGCATGACCAATTTTCCTATGCCTTTTCCTAAGATATCTCGTGTACATGCTTTCCTTATCTCTTAGGAGAATTTAAAATAGGATAGAGAATAATTGTTGCCAGGAAATAACTAATCTATTCAGCAGGCGGCAGAAAACATAAAGGAAATTTGCCTTTTAATAAGCTACAATGATGACTTTTTTTAAAGAACTAATGACTTAATAAAGAAGTGGCAGTTGTGACCTTAATCGAGACGTTTAAGAAGGGATTACGTATGCAAAGGTATTTACCAGGAAAGAATTAACTTGGTTTCGAGGTCTTCTATCCTCAACCGAAAATCCAAATGCCTATTTAACTTTGGAGTTAAGGGAGATTGCCCTTGTTTCTCTTAACAATATATACATATATATATATATATATACTTTATGCGGTGATCTGGATCTCATCCATAACCTATTCTATCCCTATTTAGGCACTTTCTTGTGACGACGTCCTAATAGGAGATTGTACAGTAAAAAGTAAATTACGTAACAATTTTGAACGGATGGGACATGCATAGAACGGAACATTGTAACTCCCTTTCCCCATGTTTCTTACTTTTCTCACATTCTCAAAGAACTATCTCCCAACTTTCCTTATTTATGCAACCCTAGTCAGAGAAATGGTAGAAAGGGGTGAATAATGGGTATGGCCAGTAGTAAGAAAATGGGCGAATTCCAGGTATATGACAAAATTTTGACCATTATTGGACCCCTGCTGAGGTATCACTTAACCTTTATTCCCCCTTTTACTTATTAATAAACCAGCATTTTTCAGTCTCAACTATTATTAGGCCTTTGGTTAAGTATCTGCCGATTACATAACTCCTAGTTTTTCATTTAACGCCCTATTAAAACATTTTCAACCCACATTTTCTTAAGTATAGATCCACATTCCCCATGTGAATTTAAAAAAACACTTTTTTCAACCAAATGCATCCCAATTTCGTGAAATATCCTCGACTGAGGTTTCTGCTTCAGCAGTAATGTACTTTTGCGGCTAAAAAGAGATTTTGATCTAAATTTATTGACGACCTTCTAAAGAGCAATTACACAAACTGCTACTTCTTCAATTCCATTTAAGACGTCTTGGCGAGTCATTTTGGCACATACTTGATACTTCTTTAATTATATTCAGTACAATAAATGGATATCCAAATGTAGATGGCTGAGAACTAATCATTTGAAGTTAAAAATTGGCGACGACCCGGCTTTGATTTCCATCGAATAACTGTGGCTATACCTACCGAAATACACCCCAATAATAGTTGAAATAACTTAAAAATAAGGCAAGCAAGTTCATGTTCACAGCAAGCGATGACTAATTAGAAGACGCAAAGTACACTTTCTTTTCCCCACCTGTAATTTCACCTTCAAATCTCGCACATATGTAGTCTCACATGGAAGAGGATATTCCTTCTCACAGGAAGGACTTAGATGAGTTATAATAAACTTTTATGTTTATGCATATGTACATATACTTCCACCTGACGATAACCACAATGCAGCTCCAAGTGAAAAAAGATTTAGTGCGTCATATGGACTCTTATTTGAAAAATCTTAGGGAATCGCATCAAAATATCGGCGTCCCATTCACCAAAACCGCGCTCAAACACCTCAGAATTTTATATAGGGATAGCATATACAAGTGAATTGAAACGTATAGTTTTTAGACAGCTTACTCTTCAATTTTCACTATTAGCACATGCTGTCGACAAACATCATTGCTTGTAAATGAATCTTGTAAGTCTGCTAGAATATCAGCCATGAAAATATATTCAGCGTGTGAGACAACCTTGAGGTTATCTTTCCCGCAATATTCAGGGAATTAGAAACAGTGAACTGAGTGGGCTGAACTTATCCAACATGTTGATTGAAATTTTGCCTAGTAAATTCCTTTTGTGGATAAATTTTTATTAAATTGTGTTTTGTGATTCCTAGACTTATAAGAATTTCCACTTTCTGAAAAGCATGTTGGTACCCGCCTCATGTGATATGACTGCGACACACTCTTAACATACTGAGTGGCTTCATTGCATATCCCCGCTATGATGCTTGTTGTTATGTTGCTATGGGTTTCAAGTGGCCTTGGTTTCGCGGGAAGATTTGTAATATTGCGATTTCATAGACATAACTTAGGCTCATAGGTGAAGGAAAGTTATTATCCTGGAATAAGGACAAGTGTTCAGAAGGTGAGGAGGGCTTAATTTTTCAGTGTATTTGTATATATGTACTAGTGCGCATCGAGTTGCGCTGCGATTCAACATGTAGCAAAAGATTATGAATACCTTGCTCTTCTCTTCTGCATAAGAAATTTACTTCACAAAATTCGCTATATTAAGCGCAGCAAATACAAATATAAACTTTTCCACTTCAGTGTTTTTAATAATAATAATGATTTACTTTATTCCAAAACAGTACTTGTGATACAGAATGGAATTTTCAGCATTAATCACAATATTGCATCTAATTTTCTCAAATTATAAATAAAAATTAATCACACAGAAAATTTCCACATTTACAACAGAGGTAGTGTCAAAAACATGCAGCATATAGAATGGAAATAACAACAATAATGATAACAGCTAGGGTAATAATAATAAGAATACAAGTGAAAATTGCCGTTGGCTTGTGTCACACAGCATTGCCAATGTGATATAGAAATCCTAACATGTTTAAAAATATTGAATATAATGTTCTTTTTACATGATATGGTGAGGGGAAAAACAAAGATTACAGCCGCCATGGAGATAAGTTGGTGTTTGCAATTATGAGAGTAAAACAAAGAAGCAAAAGGACAATAAATATAAAAGGAATAATAAAAGTAAAACTTGTTGCGTGCGTTATTTGACTAAACTGCCGTACACGTACATTCTAATACTTCTTCGCCTATATTAATGTGCGCAGACGTTGTGGCTACACGACGCCCACAACGTAAATCAAAAGGCACTTGCAAAGAGTACGATCGTGTATTGTAGTAGTAGTCAAATTCGAAATTATGTCAAGGTAATGTTCAACAGTAAATTGACAAATATTTGCGAAGTACATATAAAATCGGTCTGTGTACACATATAATACAAGTATACAAATTAGATTAAAAAGCATGTTTACAGTTGGTATAGGGGTACTACATAATTCCCCCACCAAAACACTGAAATATGTAAAAAAAATACATTTAAGTGTTCGAAAATAACATACGTCAGCGTAATACGTAGCAGCGATGGTACACAGAAGGCGATTTATTAAGCTGAAAAATGAGCACTTTAAAGCGGTTAATAACATCGATAATAAGTGCGTTAATCTGGGGAAAGTAGGATTGCTACTCATAATAGAATATATAAGGAACGAGAAAATTGGCCGAGGATCTGCAGTCTGTAGATGAGAACGATAAGTGAATGATAATATAGGAAATATCGATGTTAAAATAATAGTGACATGATCTATGTATGAAAATACTAATCAGTTAAATGAGTAGTCAAATGAAGATTATGAATAAAGATAATAAAAATGCAAATTCGTAGTGAGTTATATTTCGATGACTTGCACGTAACGTTTAGGCCAATGAACTCGTCTACCAGATCGTGTTGTTTTTGCAGGTTTATCTGTCGACGTTGAAGCTTGTGTGGATGTAGGTGTTGGCACGTCGTTCAGCTGGTCCTTATCATTGACTTCGAAATCGTCGAGGAACGCTGGTTTGACTCTTTGCCAGGACAAGCAATTTCGTGTCCATTTCTTAACGTCGCTGTTAATGTTCGACCGGATAAATCATTTTCTTAGTAGCTTGGTAGTAGCGCTTACACCAGGATGCGACAAGTTATGTAACTTCTCGAATACTGTATGTCTCATAGCTACTGGAACGAAAGGTCGATATTTACCCGTGGAGGTGTTGTCAGCCACGTCTCATAAACCGTTAATGCCCAGCTCTTGCTACGCCCGGGCTCACGCTGTTCCTTGCAGTTTTTCAGAAACGCTTAGTAATAACGGACGAAAAAACCAAAAGACCGATTGGCCACTCGAGAATTCTTTACTGTTACACCAACATATAAAAATTATGTTTTTACTAGGGTCTGTGAACAAATATTACAATAATAAATCACAAGATTACTTCTGATGGTTGTCTCCTGACTTCTTTCTGAACAGCGACCGATGAGACGATGACTGTCGTATTGATGCCTCCGCGAAAATCGGGGAAGTTGATTTTGAGCAAACAACCAGGAATTGATCGTTCAATCTTCAACTCCATTGACAAGTGTCACAGATAACTTTTGTTGTGCCAAAAGGAATTGCTTCAATGTTTAGAGATGTTGTTTTAGAAGACATGATCTTTTTGTGTTCGGTGTCATCTCGTTGTAAGTTTGAGAGATTTTCGTAATCGATGTCTGGGCACACAATGTTATCAATGTGCATACGTGATAAAGCGTCTGCCGCTTCATTGTTTTTACCCTTGACTTGTCGCAGATCAGAGTTGTTTTGGGATATATACTCGAGATGTCGTATTTCGCGCGGAGAGTAATTAACCTGCTTTGCTGATATGGCTTTCGTTGGAGCTTTACGGTCTGTTGATGGAAAGATGGTTGTAGAATGTCAAGAAACTGATCTGCCGAGTCGGTATATGGAGGTGCTGGTGTGCGTGTGACCATCCAGTTCAACGATGATGTACGGCTAATCGTACCAGGGATGTACTTGTTATTGAGCGAGTCTATAAGCTTAGGGCTTACGGGATCAACCAGCAGTTTGTGTTGCTGTAGAAAATCTATACCAAAGATTGGGGATGGGACGTCTGCGATGATGAAAGACCAAGTGTAGGTATTCTGCAGACCAAAGTCTAAAGTCATTCGTTTACTACCATATGTAAGAATATTAGACTTATTAACGGCTTGGAGCGTAACCGCAGGGTCAAGATGTTGACGTTCCTGTGTAGACGCAGGGAGAACACTAACCTCTGCTCCTGTGTCGACTAAGAACGTAGTACCGGTATTTCTATCTGTTACATAAAACAAACGACTGCTAGATCGTAGATTTCCGACAGTAGAGGTTTTCGTACATGACGATACATCTTTTGGTTTAGCCTGAAAGTTGCAAGGTGAACGACACCGTCGTGCATTGCTTCCGTAACTACGGTGGTAACAGCAAATAGTATCGTGATATCGTGACGTGCTAGGTAACCGAGAAAGACGTCGACGAGATGAGCTTCTAGAACAGCCTGGTCGTGTGCGTGTGGTCAGTGCTGCTAACTGACTCAGTAAAGTGTCGACTTTGTGTTCTAGAGTCTGTATCCTATCGTGAGTGTCTGGTATTCTGCTAGTGGAAGCAATAGATTGAGGTGTTGACCTCCCGTACATGCGATCCGCAATTTTGGCGAGCTTTTCTATGTCAATGTCGTCGTCTCCATAAGCAAGGACTTGCTCAATGTGTGCAGGAAGTCGTCGCAGCCAGATTTGGTAAAATAGACGTTTATCGATTTCTCTTCCTGCTACTAGGCCTTGCATATGCCTCATGAGTTGCAATGGGGTTTTATCATCTAGTTCTACATTGCTTAACAAACGATCGAGTGTTTGCCTATCAGAAAGTGAAGTGCATCGAAGTACCTCTTCCTTCAACTTGTCGTAAGGAGCATCTGTGCTGGGTTGAACTATGTGTTGTCGAACCTGTTCGGCGATTTCGTCTGGTAGTACTGTACTCAAAATGCCGAGTTTAGTCGTCTGTGATGTCAGCTTATTGGCAGTGAAATAATGTTCCAGTCGTGCAAACCAAAAATGCGGTTCTCTAGGCTTAAAAACTGGTATAGTAAGAGAAATAGTACTAACAGATCCCAGCTCTAAGTTATTAGAGGTATTGTAAGACATGTTACAATTCTTAGAAAAATGGTTTAAGAGTAACAAAATAGCAAAAATTATGCACACCAAGAATGTGGCAAAACAGAAAAACATGCAATGCAGATGCTTACCACAGATTACTGCAAGTTATGCTATGAAAAAGCACAAGAATGAGTTCGAAATGTCTATTATATGTATATATATAAAGATCCAATAAAGTTAGAGTTTAAATAATCCAGCAAGTGTAATGATGAGTCGTGGGAACAAGTTGTCGTCGGAGTCAACGAGTTATCGTCGGGATGAACAATTTGTCGTCGGCGTGAACCAGTTATTGTCAAGGATACCGACTTGTCGTCGGGCTCACCAATTTGTTGCGTGCATTATTTGACTAAACTGCCGTACACGTATATTCTAATACTTCTTCGCCTATATTAATGTGCGCAGACGTTGTGGCTACACGACGCCCACAACGTAAATCAAAAGGCACTTGCAAAGAGTACGATCGTGTATTGTAGTAGTAGTCAAATTCGAAATTATGTCAAGGTAATGTTCAACAGTAAATTGACAAATATTTGCGAAGTACATATAAAATCGGTCTGTGTACACATATAATACAAGTATACAAATTAGATTAAAAAGCATGTTTACAGTTGGTATAGGAGTACTACAAACTCGTTTTTTACTAGAACAAGAAAGGCTAGTTAATTCTTGCCTGACACTATTTTCATCCCATAAAATACGTACCAAGTATGGTTTCATAGAATTTTTATACTTAGACGTGCGAGCATACAGTTTTCTGCAGTTACTTCTTGTTCTACCTGAGGAGATGCATGGTGAAAGCTGAGGGTAAAGTGGATGCTCCAAGTCAGACAAAATCCCTCTAGCAAATTTATTGCACGAAGTCAAGTGCCTATCGACAACGACGTTAACTATGTGGTCCACTGGGACACCACTCACTCTACTGACAGTTTTCAGCATTCTACGAATTGTGACATAGTCCTTTTTAAGCAA